TATATATATATATATATATATATATATAAGCTCGATACCCGTGCTTCGCTACGAAACTATTTGGCCAGGCTTAGTTTTTGGGGAGGAAAATAAGGGGGAGGAATTCTGCCTCTGCCTACCACCATCCATCGGTATTCATCTGGCTAGCGTCCTGTCAGTGTGTGAGAAAGTTGAGGGCTGTTTGGAACCTGAAACAGGACTTGCTGTGTGAGCAAGAAGGAGACAGTAAGGAGCCTGGGCACGGCTTAGCTCAACTGTTCTGTACAAAAGCTGCTTGGTGCTGTGAAACTAAAACTGAAACTCCTCTCCTCTGCTTGTGTTTTGCATTTGGAACCAATTTCTTTTCAGGTGGGGAGGGGGAGTAAAACTCCTTAGCATCAGAGCGTGTTAATAATAATATACGAAATACTAATGCTCTGATGGTCATTTTCATGTATATAGAGGTATATATATATTTATTCACTTGATTTATTTATAAAAAAAGGAAAGGTGGGATAAAAATCAAATAAATAAATATCAAGTTCTGCTTTATACTGTAGAGAATATTTAAAAATGGATTATATCCAAGACCTTGTAATCACATTTGATGACATGCCCCTCTGGACAGGAATTCCCACTCAAGATTGCTTAGGAGTTGGCTTCGCAAAGGTTGAGTTTCTTGCTAGGTAGAATGTCATGACTGCTTCAGATAGCAAATGTTGGGCCGAGGACAAACAGAATGTTTGCTCAGTTGGCTGAGTATCTTCTGATGTTACTGTACCTACTGTGAGCCTGGAGAATTTAATGCCTGCTAGTTTGTCAACTGCAAGGCTGGCTTTGTATACTTGGAATCAAGGATGTGCCTTCTCATCCTTTACCTTAAGCAGCAAATATCATGAGATAATTTATTTATTCACGACAGTTATGTTCCTTTAGAAAACACACTGCATTTTTACACTGTCTCATAGCATTGGAAATTAATCAGTAAAAGACATTGAAAACAGAGAAGCAAATTAATTTTATTGTATGATCATATTTTTCTTAAAAAAAATATTTTTCCCCTCTTGTTTCAGATATTTGGTGCTAGAACACGTGTCAGGAGGAGAGCTGTTTGATTATCTGGTAAAGAAAGGAAGATTAACACCAAAAGAAGCCAGAAAGTTCTTCCGACAGATTATTTCCGCGTTAGACTTTTGTCATAGTCATTCAATCTGGTGAGTACAATAATTTAAGGCACATGACTTTCAACAAGGGAGTTGTTTCGACAGAGTTCATCTGAGTAGGGAACCAACCAGTGGTGGGATTCAAAAAAATTTACTACCGGTTCTGTGGGCGTGGCTTGGTGGGCATGGCAGGGGAAGGATACTGTAAAATATCCAGTCAGAGGTGGCATTTGCCGGTTCTCCGAACTAATCAAAATTTTCACTACCAGTTCTCCAAAACTGGTCAGAACCTGCTGAATGCCACCACTGGAACCAACCTTGAAGGTATGTCTTTCACTAGGATATCATAAGCTGTAACTTCAAATAACTCAGTTCGCTCTTCCTTTTCCCTTTTCTTATGTTCAATTTATCACTAAACATTTTATTCTTTGTTTATTCATAGTTATTCGTGTCAGAAGTATCACGATTAAAATAAGGCATACTATATGACATAAAATTTAAAATATACAAGATTAAAATGTCTACAAATTCAACAGATCTTTCCCAGAAACTAGCAACATTCATTTATTTTTATTTTATTTAGGAGGTTTATATTGCTGCCTATTCACACATGGCGACTCAAGGCGGCTTACAAGAATATAAAAGCATCATATAAAAAACAAAACTAATAAAAGAATCATATAATAAATTAATAATATAATATAATAAATAACCACACACACACACACACATATAGAGCGACAACACATCATAGAGCCATTTAATGGGCTCCATCCCGCTCTATGTTCCCCAGGCCCACTGACAGAACCACGTCTTCAGCGCCTTTAATTGCATTCTGTCACGCTGCCATGAGGTGCTCAAATGCCATGAGGTCCCCTATTTTATTTATTATTTATTTATATTTTATATTTACAGATTGCCTAACTCCCTCAAAGTTTTAAAATATCTCCTCTGTCAGGGTGCCCATCCTATAGAACAGCATTCTTGAAATTTGGATGGCTTTCCTTCAGGCATTGGGTCAGGCTATTAATTGACCCCAGATGTATCGCTGCATGTTTATTTTTCAAATTGTGCATTAGGAGCCACTTGTTTTTTAACACTTGTGTAGTTACAGGTAAGTCAATTCAAACCAAAACTTCTGTTGCTAAGCAGTGCAGTCATTAAGTGAGCCACACCTAATTTTACAACCTTTTGTGCTATGGTCCTTAAGCAAATCTGGCTTCCCTATTGACTTTGCTTGTTGGAAGCCCCTGGGAAAGGTACAAATGGTGTTCACTTAACCTTAGGATGCTGCAGCCATCATAAAAATACCAGGTCATTGCCGAACCCTTTTGATTTTGATCATGTGACTGTTGGAATGTTGGGATGATCATAAGTTCAAGGACTGGTCTTAAGTCGCTTTTTTTCAGCACCTTTATAATTTTGGATGGTTTTTACATGAAAGGTCTTGGTGTATCTAGGACTACCTATGTTATATGCATGGGGAGGGTTTTGCTATGTTTGCAATACAGCTTTTATCTTTGTGTTATGTTGTTTGTAGAACAAGAATCATTGCCCAGAATCATTGTTTTGAAGTAGACAGCCATATCAAGCATGTATATGAACATGAGTCATACAAAACTTTCTCTCAAAAGAAAGCAAAGAAACTCATGTTAAAGAATTAGTGACTTTGTTCATCATTATTGGCTAGATTCCATCTGGATATATGCCTTTATTTCTCTTCCAATATAGTGTTGCTTAATTTATCAGCATGTTATTAATACTCACTTGGATGCTGTTGAATGTGATTCAATCTTTAACTTGCATGCCATTTTTTTGAACTGAAATACTGTAGTTTCCCTTGATGCTTAAACAAGTTTCAGTAAGTTTTCAATTAGACTAAAATGGGGGAAGAAGATTGTCCCAATAGATGGAATGCAAGATTTCTGTGCAACTACTGACCCATAATTGCGCATTTATTCCTCAGTAGTTATTTGTACAGTTTTGATTTGAATAATGGATAAAACAACTTTTTGAATACAAATGGAGTTAGGTCTCTTAGGCTATTAATTATGGAGGTTTCAAAAATGTATTCTGTAGAGCTACTATGTCTTTTAATACGTTTGCAATGATTATTGGAAACCTATTAAGTGGATTTCAACCCTGTTATAATGCATAAGAAAAGCCTACCTTTCCTTTATCAACAGATAGTTACTAAAATGAGTTTTGTCTTGTTTGTTGTTAGAAGTGGTGGTTATTATCAAGGATCATAAAAAGCCCTTAATCTGCAACTGGATTCAGTTCTAACATTGGGTAAAAAATTGAACACCTCTTTACACCTTTCATGACCTTCCTTGCACAGTTGAATTTGCTCAGGACAGTAAATTTTATCTTAGGTAATACACATATGAGCAATGATAGAAAAAAACAACCTCTTGTTCTCTTTGATATTCACTAAGCCTTCATGGTGTACCAACTTCAGTGCATCTTTTTCACTGTCCTTCAGATATTCTTCCAATGCCCTTTTGCAACTGCCTGATGCACTTGCAATATTCCACACCCACCTTTGTTCCTTGATAAATAGGGTCTGTCAACACCACTGCATGGATGAAGGACATGATTCATTGTCGTTATTTTTCTGGTCTTTTATCCAGGGCTTTTAGTTCTGCTTGAGTCCAGTCCACTATTCCAGCTGTGTATTTAATGACTGGAATTGCCCAGGTGTTAATTGCCTTGATGATATTTCTTCAACTATGTTTGGGTTTTAATGTCTTCTTCTCTCTTATGATGTATTCACTTCTAACCTTCTTGACTTCAGTGTGTTTGATGGTGTCAGCTTGAAGGATGCCCAGGTATTTGTAGTGATCATCTTCATCTGGACTCTTGTTATTATTTCCATAGGGCATCTTAATTCCTCCAGTGTCCACTAGTTTTTCCCCCTGTTGATGGTCAGGGTGGCACATTTGTCCTGTCCAGATTTCATTGCAATACCCTGGCTATTAATATGGACACTGTTGAGCAATGATTTTATTTCAGATGGTGGTATTCCATACAGTTTCAGATTGTGTAAAGAAGGTGGGGTATCTCGGCAGATATTTTTGACATTTGATAGCCACGGCCTAACTTGTTCAGTATTGTTGACAGAGGAATCAGTGCAATGGCAAATACTAATGGTGGTAGCGAGTTTCCTTGAAAGATTCCTTTCTTGATATTAACCTCTTCCAGTTTATCACCACTGACCAGTAACAGTGTCTTCCATTGTGTCATTTATCTCTGCACAAGGCTTCTGAGACTTCTACGGACTCCTGTTACTTTTAGGCATTTGATTATCCAATCATGTAGCAAATGCCTTCTGGTAATCAATCCAATCTCCATTCAAGTTGTTCTTCCTTCTCTTGCAGTTTTACATAATCATCTTGTCAATTAAGAGCTGATCTTTTGTTCCTCTGCTGTTTGGGTGGTTTTCTTTCTATTCATGTAAAAAGGGCTTGTTTTTAAGTGGACTGTTGGACTGTATCAACTACCACACTGGTTAGCAATTTGAAAGTTGTTGGCAAGTAAGTAATTGGCTTTATTTGCCTGGTGCTGCCCTTTTTGTTGGACCTTTCATTATCAGCTAAATTTTGCCAGATGTTAGCCACGCTTCAATTTCACCTCCTTGCAATATGTTGTTAAACTGCTTGGCAATGAGTGGGTGTAGACCAGTCAGATGTTTCAACCAAAAACTATGCTGACCAATTATTGAACTTGCTATTTCTCCACCATTTCTGCTGTTGTTACAAGTTCTCTCATTTCAGCTTCTTTTTTAATTCTTATCTACCTCTTTTAATCGAGCTGCATTCTTGTTGTATTTATTTGGGTTGTCCCATATCTGCATCAAAATTGTACTGTTTCTTCACCAGGTGTTGACTGGTTCATTGGTGGTTCATGAGGCCATCATTGGTGAATTGGTAGAAATGTTTCTGATTTGACTGAAATTACAGATTCTTCTTGTAATGTGCAGTTCAAACTTCATATATGCTGATTTTCTTGACTATACCTGTTTTTTTGCTGATTTATTATTTCCAGTGCTTCCTTGATCTTCCTTGTCTCTAATTATTTATTTATTTATTATTATATATACACAAAAATGTGACATCGCAGCTGCCAGTTAGTGTGTTGGCCTTCATATACATCAGGTTCTTCCCTAGAACTTAGGATGCTGTAATGCAGGGGTTTCAAACTCACATTGTCATAGCTGCGTCAAATGTCCTGCGCTATCAGGACTTTTCCCCCCTTCGCTAAACAGGGCATGGGTATGGTCAGCGTGTGACGCATCCGGCCCATAGGCTGGGAGTTTGACAGCCCTGCTGTAGTGTACTGACATAGTACATGCAGCAATTATTATATACACAACAAAATGAAATCATAGCTGCCAAATCTTAAGCTGGTGTTGGCCTTCATTTGCATCAAGTTCTTCCCAAGAATCTAGGATGTCGTAATGTATCAATATAATATGCATGTAGATCCAAGCAGTGTAGACTTTTGTAACTGACAGATGGAAATTTTTTTAATGTGCAGATGTTTGAAGTGCCATCCAAGGTTTTTCTGGTATGGCTCCCTGCGTGATTGTTATTATTATTAATATTCTGTGAATCCTTTTCAAATGTAAACTGAGAGTTGGTTTTAATAAGAGAGTCATTAGAGGCAAATTACAGTCTAAGGCTGTGAATGATTTGTGAACCACCATCAGCCATGTTTTGAGTTGTAATAAATTGCAAGTATACCAAAGCCCAGTGGGGGGAAAATGATGCTTAAATATTGGGTAGACTAAAAATCATATTCAGAGGAAATAAGCAGGTAGCATAGATACACTCACCAGAGCACAAGGGACAACTGACAGAAATCAATAACAGCTGGAGGGTCCAATCTGAATCATTACTTTTAATACAGTGAATATCTTTGGTGACTGTTGGTTCGAGATTAAATATTTTTTTAACCAATCCATATGACCAAATTGCAAGCTATTCCTTATATGACTGAGACTGTTTTATCTTAATAGGTACCAATTGATTTAGCTGGACCACTGACTA